TTTAATATAAATAATATGAAGAAACTTTTGGGGTTCTAATTTAATTTTAAAAAAAAAATCTATGTACTCCAATGGCATATCTAACAAATCCTTCAAAATGAATAAAACTAAAATTTCTGGGATTTTGAGCCCTTTTTTTGTTTCAATATATTTTACAAAAACTTTATCCATAACCAAAAAAAAAAAAGTAAGAAAGATATGATAAAATTCTTCAAAATCTACAGAACTCCTAAAAATGATTGATTGATTGGAAGAGATAAATGATTTTTTTTATTATATATATTAAATATTTTAATAATATAGTTAATATTATTATATTCAAGATAGATAAATTATTATAATTAAATGTAGTTTTTTTTTTTGAATATTTGATTTTCTTCAATATTGAGCAATTTTGGATGCTATATTGGAGAGCCATATTTGATGACAATTATACCTTTTTGCTACGGTTATTGGCTGAATAAGACAAACCTCTAACATAATTTAGGAGATGTTTGGTTTTGATAGAATGCTTTTGAATGACTTGGATTTAGTGGAATGATTTAGAATTGAAAGGATTTGTGTTTAGAAGTATATGAACCAGGATTGATGGTTCATTTTTTTGATTTTAGAATTGATTTGTATTACATAATATAATATATAAAGTAGTTGCATATATATTTTATTTTAATATCTTACATCATTGATATTAAACACATGTATAAAACTTCACTAAGCCATGATCAACATATATTAAAAAACAATGGACATCTTTTTTTTAAGATCATCGTAATTAATTTATTATAATTGAGATATTTATGAAATATGATATGGTTTATTTATTATGATAATTGTTTAGAGGCCGTTTACTTAAACACTTACCTGGTAAACATTTAACGTAAAAATTCAATGTTATCGCTTATTTAATAGGTAAGATTTTAGTCTATCAAAACGACTTTACCTGTTAAGCCGTAATCGTGGTAAGAGTTGTCGTCATCACTTAACAGGTAAGACTTTCCGTCTTTGTCTTCGCTTTTAACGGATAATTTTTTTGGTCTTTTTCATATTCATCCAGTAAGATAATATGACTTACTAAAAAGTAATTACTTAAGTAAATTTTTGATAAACAACTATTTAATTATAAAATAAATAAAATATTTATAAAATTAGATATTGAATATATTCAATATGGATGAGGAAATAATTTGTGTGACGTTGACGGGTGGGTGAAGCGGTATGGCGGCCATCACCATTACCAATTGCCTTTTGTCTTCCTTTGGGGGAGGCTTCTTCTGTTTCTTGAACCAATCAATATTCCCCACATTTCCATTTATTTCACCAAATTATTTATTTTATTTTATACATATATTTCAATTAGTGTAAATAAAAATAAATTAGTAGATAAAAATATATTTAATAATTTATACTATATTATAAAACATTTGACAAGAACTATTAAAAATTATTTTTTATGCACGAAATATTGTTTATTGATGTATATTACTTAAAATTTAAGATTATAAGTAAATTGTGTATAAGTACAACTTATTAAAGCTTCATATTTGAATTCRTGTAACTAACTGCATATAAACACAATCAAATACATGATAAAAATCTCATTTTAAATATAAAAAATCTAAAAAATAATTAGGATAATCATTGAGTTTTAATAGAATACTTAATTATTATCTTTATAAACATTATATTATTAAACCTGAATTAAATTATAATTAAAAATTTTGAATTAAAGAAATTACGTCAAAACACACGAACTTTTAAAAAGATTAATTTGATACTCATATCGATATATTTTTTTCAAAAATTTATAATATTTTTAAATTTATATTTTATTCAAAAATAAAACATTATCGTTTTATCAAAAACACATAAAACCGTATTATATCGACATAAAAAATGAATAAAACGAAACACTGAAATCAAAATGTGTCTCGATACATTGCACAAGTACCCTTATAGTCTTCTCTAATAAAACCAGTGAAACTTCAAAATCGTTAAAATTCACGACTCCCTCCACATTGCGCATGTACACAACTAGTTTTCTCAAAAACCTGAAAAAATCGAAATTCTTTATTTGTTATTTTCTTTTTGGAAATTGGGTTGAAAAAGGTTCAAACATTCGAAAACTTAAACCTTGTGCATTTCTAACAAAAATAATACAATATTAATAGTCATTTAATGGTATGTTAAGACATGTTCATATATGATTAAGATCTAAAAAATTCTTATATGTTATTAGATGGCTTGAAGTTAACGTTTTCAGGGTTAGGTTTGAGGAGTTGAACTAACGGATCAAATATAAATGACGGTTTTACCTTGACATATCCAAACTGATGTTAGAATTGATAAGCGTACCAACTAATAATCGATAGCATGTATTCCCGAAATTTTTAGATACTAGTCGTTGTACATTATAATTTTTATTGTGCAACAAATGTTTTATTTAATATAAATCATCAAATAAAGTTAAAATTTTACTTTTTTAAGTCGACGAATAAATTCACATATCATATCTTTGAATTTATAATTTAAAAGTGATAAAATTCAGTTGGCGGAATTACTGAAATTGGGTCATACCATGGACAACAATGAATAAATTCACATATCATATCTTTGAATTTATGATTTAAAAGTGATAAAATTCAGTTGGCGGAACTACTAAAATTGGGTCATACCGGTGGACAACAACGTTAAGACCTTTATCGTCATATTCACTAAAGTGTTTTATTCCTTGTGCTCTTGCGTCAAATCAGTTATTTATATTAATAAACTTTAAGTAAATTTAAACAAAGCTAACATGATTGAGATGATTACACATCTACAATAGTAGAGGAAGTTCAGTTGTAAACTTATTTTTTACTGTGAACTGGATGGACAAAGAAGAACCTGATATGTAACCCCATTTGTTCCTATTTATCATGAACAACGAACATGCACTTTTATGATAAATATCCATGAATGTCTTGGACACTTGAGACTCCTTTGATCCCGATTCATAACGAAACTTAAGTTTGCAACTGGACATGTTTCAATAAAAATGTGTATATGTATATATATTGACTAGAAGGATACTCGTGCAATACAACGAGATAAATATTGATTTTAATAATTTATTTTATTTTTTATCTCAGTCGATGTTATAATATGATCTTATGTGATTTTGAAAAAACCATGATATTTTTATTTCTGAATAAAATATAAATTTGAAGATACCATAAAATGTTGACAAAAATATATCGATATTAGTATTAAATTAACTATTTAAAATTCATATTTTTTGTGTAATTTTTTAATTCAATTTTTTTATTATAATTTAATTTAGGTTCAATAACGAAATAATTTATATTTGGTTTAATAATATAATTTTCTTATAAAAATAATAATTAATTATTTTGTTAGAACTGAATAGTTATCTTAATTATATTTTAAAATGAGATGTTTATCCTCTATTTGATTATTTTTATCGCAGTTAGTTACACGAATTCAAAAATGGAGTCTTAATAAGTTATACTTATGCATAATTTACTTGTCATCTTCAATTTCAAGTAATATGCATCAATATACAGTAATTCATGCATAAAAAATAGTTTTTAAAATTTTTTGTGAAATGCTTTATAATACAGTATAGATAATACTTGAACATAATCAAAAGAATTAAAAAATGATTTCGTCAAAGAAAATATAAAAATACAGAAAGGTCCTTATCGGATCCCAATTGGGCTTTTTTCACTTAAAAATTAGGGTTAAATGCACGAAATAACAACTTACTTTCATAAAATTTCTTATTATAACATTATACTTTTGTTTTTATTTATTACAACGATGTAATTTCAAATTATTTTTTATTAAGACATTGTACTTTAAAAAATCTATCTATAATAGTAATGGGTAACCTGTTACCTTTTAAACCGGTTAACCTTTTGACTTTTTTGTTTGTGTGGCTTTAATGAGGTGATGTGGATGACACATCATTTTGATGACTTAACTAAAATTAAAATAAAAACCTATTTCAAATTATTATTAGTGATTTTCATTTTTCATTGCTATTATCTAAAAAACATTTAATTTTTTTACTCTTTCTTATTAAGTTGCATTCAAACTAAATATTCTTAGAGTAAAATATTTATTAAATAAATATGAAATATTATTTTTGAGATATATTTTGTTTGTAAAAAAGTCAATTTTCCATATTTTATGTTGTTCAAATAAATACATATATTTTAAAATATTAACGAAATAAATTGTTATCTACAATTTTTTAATATTGTTATATTAATAAATAATTCAAAAAAATCTAATTAATTTAATATATTTATACGTCAAGTAAAAAAGTTTTTGAACAAATATAATATATTTTTTAAAAGATAATATTTTTTGGTAAAAAAAGAACAATTCTTATTTTCCTTTTTTTTTAAAACACATTTATTAAAAATATTAGTGAAATAAGTTGTGTTCTACTAGTTTTATTGATATTGGTATATTAATGAATAATTTATAATTTTTTAATTCATTTAATATATTTATTAAATAGCATGTAAAATATATAAATATTAAAATTAAAAATATAATGTTTAATAAGAACTAGTAGATGTTATAATAAAATAATTTTGAAAGTATAATGATGTAGTAAGAAAATCACATCACTATAGTACATGTAGACATCCTACATGGACAATAAGGTGACATAAAAACCTAGTATGATGAGTAAATTTAAATCAAAAAGTTATTTAATGCTATAATGGGTAAAGTTTTCAAAGTAGAATGTCATTATAAAAAATAGTTTGAAAGTAAATTATTGTAATAAGAAAAACTGAAAATATAATACTATAATAAATTTTTTTATGAAAATAGATTGTTATTTTCTGGATTTTGCCATAAAAATATCCCCAACGCACCTGAATGGCTGAACTGCTGAATATAGTCGTTATTGGGCTCAATTTGTTCCATACAGCCCAGTCAGAATCGTAGCCGTTAAATTGGCCAGCCATATTGACCCGGCGGATTCTGACGTCCGGCCAAACCAGTTGAGAGTGCGGTTCTGCGAACAAGATGGATTACAGGAATAAACTTGTTCTTGCTCCAATGGTTCGAGTTGTAAGTCGTTTTTTAAATTCAACTGTTGTTCTTAGTATATCATCCGCCGTTTATATCTTTCTAGGTTTTTAGTTTTGCCTCTTAAATTGCAACATATAATAATTCCAGTATTCATAGTTGATGCCGTTCTTCTACTGTGTGTTTGTAGTTATGACAGGATTGAAAGAAAATATATGAATTCTTACTTCCGAGGTTCAATCGAACTTTAACTTAGGTTGTCAAAACTTACACGGATTTTAAACTTTTGAGAAATATTGATCAACTGAACTGGACATTATAACAAGTGCCAGAAATAGGAGGAAGCCGGTGTTGAATTTTTATCCTATAATCATTCTTTTGCATTTGAAAAGCACTAGGTTTGAATGCGAAGATCGAAGTATACTTTCGCATTCCAGTTTGGCACATATAAGTCGATGTATCCTTGATGATGGAGGGAGAGGGAATACTAGAAAAGACGATAAAAGTTCCAAAAGTTTCTGTATCCTATTAGCCTAGATTCCTAGGCATGAAAGTTATAACCAAAACATTAAAGTATTGAGGTTATTTTGCCTCTCCTTTCCTTTCTTTTTGCTACTTGGTAAATTATATTGTCGGGAAGTCATAAGTAGTGGTTGAGTTATGCAACTATATTCTTTTCAGGGGACATTGCCATTTAGATTACTGGCAGCTCAATATGGTGCAGACATTACATATGGGGAGGAGATTATTGATCATAAACTACTCAAATGTGAACGACGCATAAATGGTAGTTTATAATTGCAGTAATACAATTTTTTCATCTTTTTAGATCTTCTTTTAATCAAGTTTAAGATGGTCACCAAAAGGCCTTTGGCCTAGCGGTATCGTAGTCTTTGACCTCCTAGGAGGTTAGAGGTTCAAACCTCACCAAAGATGAGGAGGGTGTGTGAGTTTATTTGTTGCATTTGCCCTATATAAATATTATATACTTCAAAAAAAAGTTTAAGATGGTCATCTTCAACTCAAATACATGTAGTTGTCTTCTAGCTGTATTTACATATGCTGAAGGTCGAAGCATTTGAGAATGTGCTATTTTTCTTCCCTCATCCCTTGAGTATTGCAACATTGATCTAACAAGTAGTTTAAGGAAACATATGACTATATGTCAAATTGTCTGAACTGTAAATATCCTCTAATAATGGAAAAACTATAATTTTATGGATTCAAATCCATAGCATCATTTATCTGTAGAGATTACAGTGGGCAGATGGGAAACTGAAACTTGAAAAATTGTCAAAAGAGGAATGTTTGAATTTCTCATTGGACATCCTAAAATGGAAATTGTTGCGTTTTCTATGAGCCTGGAGTATATAATTTTTCCTAGTTATATTGTTGAGTGCTCTTGCTATGGTAGAATGCCTTTATCCTGGTGGTAAATCTAGTTGTAATGTTTAAACGGAATGATTCTACATCTCTTCAAATTAGTGAGAGGTTTTGACCATTTGTGGTCATGGAGTCTTGTGATTCAAGATTGCATAGATTATTTACAAAATTGAGGAAAGCAACAGTACTGCAACAAATTGCTAGTAGGAACAAAATCGCCCATCTTCAAAACTAAAGAAACACATGTCAGGTTTTTATTTCGAAGACACCCGTTTGTCTACAAAAGAAAGGCATCTCTTTTTTTGCAAGACAGATGACACTATCATAATTGTACTTATTCCCAGATCAAAGTAAATTACCATGAGATGCTCTAATGATGCAATCTTTGTGATAAAGAAGGCGACTGACACTTCTGATTGTTTATAAATGCTAGATGTTATTGGTTCAACCGATATAGTGGAGAAGGGTACAGAGAATGTTGTTTTTAGAACCTGTGGCGAGGAAAGAAATAGAGTAGTATTTCAGATGGGGACTTCAGACGCTGTTAGGGCTCTGACTGCTGCTCAGTTGGTGTAAGTTTCTTTATCCTTATGGGTAATACCAAAACAACTTTATCTTGTTCCAGCAGAAGATTTGATTTACCATACGTCAGAGAATCGTAACATCTTGCCTCTATATTGTGTTCTTTTTGTTCAGTATCTATTCATACTGGATCACAGTTTATCTAGTTGATTCTTATTCCTTTGTTACAGTAGACTAATTGCAATTACATTTACTGTCTGCTTAAAATAAGGAGGACTTGCTGCCCACCCCCACCCCCAGGGGGGGGGGGATATAGTCGTTACCAACTAGACTGGCTGTAGGTGCCAGAAAGTAGTGCTAATTTTGGAATCTTAAGGTTCTCAATACCGTTGGTAATTATAGCTACAACTACAGCATCCTACAAAATTAAGATATGTCAGTCTACCCCTACTAACAAACTGACAAATGGCAAAGCCGCTATGGAACCTAATTGCAGATCCAAGCCTTAACAGCTAACAAAAACCCAAAATCATTTATAACTGCAATTTCAAAGTTTTAGCATATTAAAATCCAAATAATTGCTTGTATACTTGACCCAAATGTTGAAAATTTTAAGATAATATTATATAGCATGGCAAATGAAACTTCTTACTGCTGCTCAAAATCTAGAGCAGAGTCCTGATAAGGTGAAAGATCAGAGATAAGTGAAAGCTATGATGGAGTTGGTCCTTATTCTTTGTATTCAAGGTTTAGCTACGCCAACCTATCTAACCCATGAATCACACCTAAAATAGTACCAAGCACTCAAACAATAAATTCCCGTTTCTTGGATGAAGAAAGATCCATCCCAGTTTCATTCAGGGATGGACCTTCAGTTGTGTCTGTGGTGTCACGTGTCAGCACATGATTTTTAAATTTTTCTGTAAGGGCTCCATAGTAATTGGAGCAATGGTGACAGTTATCAGAAGCAGAATGCAGATTGCTGCTGACTTAGTTGGAAAATATTTTTATTGCAAACCTCGTTCAAAGAATGAACCCAAAGGACAAACACGATATCGTGGTGTAGCAGGACATATTAATAGTTAGCAATCGTAAAACATACTAATAGATCATAAACAATTTGTCTTTTGTAAAGAACACCATATGCATTGTCTTTAAAAAATCATATATGCAAATTGTTTTATAAAAATCACAACCTGATTGTATAAAAATGTATTTACTTTTTTCTCAAAGTTCACTGCATGTTTCATGAAGTCATGAATAAAGTCAACTTGTTCACTGAAAGATGTTTCTATTTATCTATCTCTTGACTCGAAATAGGAGCAGGTTTGAAAGCTAAAATTCCATTAAAGAGCATTTCCATGGGGTAGAACCTCCTCAGGGAATATAAGGTTTTCACCCAAGTTATTTAGTAAAATGAAAATGAGGATGAGACATCAGGAATAGTCGGGATAGCTCAGTTGGTAGAATTTGAAGAGGGTACAATAGGCATTGCTCTTAATATGGAATCAACTAATGTTGGTGTTGTATTAACGGGTGATGGTTTGCTGATACAAGAAGGGAGAGCAGAAGTCATGATTAAAGGTCCCGGTCTCAAGAGACAAATATACATACAGCTTAATTAAAAACTCTTTTTCCTTCATAAAATATATCTCTTTTGATGGGTCTAAATTTGAAGCTGGAACAGGATATGGAAACCAAAGCTTTGAAGCATTTATTAAAATGTATTTGCATTCAAAAGGTTGAATGCCCTATAGTAAATTTTAGTTTCAATTGTAGTCTCAAGTCATTGTTTTTCACTTTTGAGAAGGAAGCTTGCCTTTCCTTCAAGCGTTTAAGGCAATTGTAATGATACTTAATAGTTCTCTGAGATCCCTACCAGTACGATTCTGCATTTTATAAAAGAAATGGAATTCATTGAAACTGGAAATGAACAAATTGTGCCATTTAGATGTTTATAATGTACTTAATTTTTTCAATAACAAAACCTTTCATATCTTGAACATATTTTATGGTATTGATTTTAGTTTTTTTGTTTATTACATCCCATTTAGTCAAAATGTAATTATTCAACTTTGATAAATTTAAATTTAGTTTAATGAAGTGACACAACGGCCTAAGATTTATGGTTCCCCCTTGGTTTCATTAATAGAATATATAGCATTCTTGTAGAACAAAAACCAATTCAATCAACCAACCCATCATCAAGTTGTGACATATATATGTGCAGTATGTTTGCTCTTATGTCCAAAATGGGGAGGGATACCTTTTGAATTTCTAAACAAGCTGGGGTTTGATTAGAAAAATGTTATGGTTATCAAAGTGGGGGGAACAAGGAAGGAGTTTCAGAGTGATAGAGAAGATAGAGAGAACTTTAGAGAAGAGAAAGAGAGAGGATAGTGCATCGGAGATTAAGATGATTAGGAAAACGATGAGTGCTGGACTTGTGTTACTTGACTTGGCCCATGGACTGCTTTCCGGATTGAGCTTCTGGCCTGTGCCTCTGAGGCATATAATGATAGTTAAAGTTTCAGATCCGTTGATGAGTATTGATTCAAACTGTCAAAGAGTGCAATTTGTTTCTTTGTAAATTATCTGTCATTATTATGTTTATCCTTGTAAGCCATCTTTATCTATTATTTACGATGCTTTTTCCTATATAAAGGAAGCTGTTTATGAATAAATTGTCAGATTTATTCAGAACATAAAACCAATATTCAATTGTGTCATAAACTAAAGCTATAATAGGGCGCTTTCAAATATCTAGATAGGTCTAGAAGCTTTCAAATCCATCACGAACTGATCACGTGAATCTGCCCAATCATCAGATCGTGGAACAAGCATGAAACAACAATATTTCCATAAGTAGGAATTTGGGATGGTAAATAATTGACAAATGGTCTAATGTCTTTAAAAGTGAAGTCATCTCAAATGGACTGATTTGTGTCATTTCTGGAGGTACATGGATTATTCTAGACCTGCCAGTTACCTCCTAACCAAGGTTCTAAATGACGTGAGGTGTGGTGTGGCGGCGAGGTCAAGCCTCAAGCCGTACGAGTTACGACGAGGCCACGGCATTTTTTTCAAGGCGTGCCCTAAGGCCTGCATATGTGAACATATATGTATGTATGTATGTATATACTTGTGTGTGTTAGTGTTTGAATAATCCCGTAGAACAATATAACTCATATAAAATTATAAAATTAAAAAGGAAAGAAAAACCATTTATATCAAATATGTCGAGCTTATAAGGAAATGATATCAAGAGTGTAAAATTGGGATTAAATCTTTTGAGTCTCTACTCGCTATGTATTTCTATCTTCAAATATTCATGTTTGACTCGCTCACTGTGTACAAGAATGAGAGTAAGAATTTACCAATTTAGGGTTTTAGTTTTATATTTCCTTTTTAATGTTTATTTAAATCTTAGGTGTCCTACATAATTATCATTTATCCCCCAGATTATATGTTTAAAAAAAGAAAAAGAAAAGCCATGTCTCACAAAATAATGCGTCGTAACATGCCATAACGTGCCATGGCATGCCATAACGCGTTACAACGGAAGGCAAACCTTATATCGAGCCACAGGGGATAACGTGGCGGCAAAGCGAAGCCTTGGTGCATAACGCACCATTACAAGTTATTTAGGACCATGCTCCAAACTCCTAAGTTTTAAAATTTTCTCATTATTACTTATAGTTATAGGTAATACTAGAAAGGTAAATGATATTTAGAGGGTTCAAATTTTTAATGTACAAAGTATCATGGACCAGAGAAAGTAAGAGTGTTCATAATTCTGTTATTACAAATGCATATTTAGGTCAAGTTGGACAAAGTGAAATACAATCTGACTGAATTCATAGCCTATTGACTGGCCAAGACAATGCAGCTGATTTGGTTTAATCAATGAGCTCATATAATAGAATGCGACCTTTTATATTCAACTGAAGATTTTTGAAATCCAATGACATTTATTTTGTATGTGCTATAAGCTGAATTACGACCATGTCTATGTGAAAGGGGCCCTTCGCCCTTGTCACCTGAGCATTGTGTCTCTAAACGCAGGTGTAAAGATGTTGCAGCTATAGATGTCAACATGGGTTGCCCCAAGGCATTCTCTATTAGTGGAGGAATGGGAGCTGCACTACTGTCTAAACCAGAGCTCATCCATGATGTATGCAAGACATGCAATCTGTGTTCATTTATCTTTTGTTGAATGTTTGTAGTTGTTAGCTGATCCTTCAGAAACTTTGATTCTCAATCCAGATTTTGACAATGTTGAAGAGGAATTTATGGATACCAGTAACATGCAAAATACGCCTATTAAATTCAACTCATGATAGTGTCGAATTGGCTAGAAGAATAGAAAAAACTGGGGTATCTGCTGTAGCTGTTCATGGAAGGTAATAATTCATACATTGACCTGTTCAATTGGTTTAAGCATGAAAGAGGGTTTGGTTAATTTTTGTCTGTTAGTCATTGACATTGGATTAGCTTAAACACGTTAGTCTTTTTAAGGGACACATGAAACTAACAAAGAACATTCATAAGTTGGAACCATGCTAAGATTTGTTTGATTCAGCAATTTGTTTACAAGTTGCAAAGAGTAGTGCCCTTTTTCCTACAAGAAGTGCAACATATTTCATTTTTGAATCTCCCACCTGAGGCCAACAGTTCCATATCATGCACCTATCTGAAACTTGGTTATTGGTTTGATGTAAAAATGACCCCGCGTTTTATTTGTTTTCTTAAAAGTTTTCTAGAGAAGGTGAGAACTTGTCCGCCTTCTACCTGTGCTATGAGCCATGAGGTATTAGTACTTGTATCAAAAGACTACCATATTTTTAACCTAAGGGTATTTCTTGCCTTTTATGTTGTTCTATATTTCAGAATTTGGTAAAAAGGCACTTCAAGATTGGTAGCCTTGTTGCATTTTATACTGGTATAAGAAATGGGTGCATGTTTCTTGTTAAGTGAATTGCAGAAGAGTTGCAGACAGACCAAGAGATCCTGCTAATTGGAGTGAAATTGCAACTGTTGTAGATGCTCTTTCTATTCCAGTCATTGCCAACGGTGATGTATTTGAGTTTGAGGATTTTCAGCACATTCGATCCGTGACAGGTAGGCAAACAGTTATTCACTTGTGAATTATGTTTCGTGATTTTTGAATTGTCACATATAGTACAGTTATCAACTATTATGATATAAAATTGTTTATAGCTGGAGAAAAAAGAAACGAGGCCCTTAATGATAAGCAGCTAATTAAATCCTCTTATTGTATGTGTTACATAAGTACCATATCCAAAACAAATCTCGATTGTTAATCTGCATCACTACTTCTTACCCTTGATGAAATTATGCTATTTTTCACTTATCTGTCTAATTGTTCGTGTATTGTGGTCTTTGACTAAATAAGAGTTCTAGTATTGCAATACTATAACAGAACCAATATCGTTTCTTTTTGAAACATTGCAATACTTGTTCATAGATGGTTATGACAAAGTCTTGAACATACACCATGATTTAACTATTTATGGCACCCAATGCACTTATGGGTTTGTTCATTCCTTTCTTATGTGAGCTTCTACCCGACTGTGAAAACCAATGTACTTGATGCTTCCTAGTTGTTGCTCATATCATCTAAAGGTGGTACTCTTCAAAAGACACTTTTGGCAGCTTGTCAGCTTATCTTTGTTAAGCGTACACATGTTTCTTTTCTGTTGATTTGATCTTAGCACCCCCAACCAAAGTCTAATGTGTCCTTCCATAATATTCACAGCCTTACAACTGCTTCTGTCTCAACTGAGTTTGATGCAAAATAAATTAATACCAATTGCAGCATCTCGGACCTGATCGACTATTTTAGTTACTTACTAGAGATATTCACAGTCTCCCTCTCACTCTTCCTCTCCTCCTGTTCCCTCTGTCTCACCCTGTATGGATAACACTTCTAGAGTTCCGGGTTCTAGGAACTCCCAGAAACTGAAAACAGGTGTTTAAATTGGTAGCAAATAGGCTTACACCGAACTATAATTGGTTTGATATTTCAAAAGAAATCTCCATTCACCGTTGACGAAGTCACATGTTTTTCATGTGAGTTTGACCTTTAATCGTTTTTTTCTAATTTTCTTTAAATATTTCACATGTGGCTCATCACCTCTTACATCATCATCTTCCCAAAACCCAAACTCTAGAAGTAACAATTTCACTTTTTTGTCTCTAGTCGATTCATGTAGAGATGTATGTGTCTTGAAAGTGAAACATAGGTTGAGATTCAGGCTGATGCAAAGGTCAATGATGTGGTAGCTATTGATATGACTGTGCATGATTGCAAGCTTGTTAAAGCAAATAACCTAAATCAATCCCCCAAAATATGGAAGTTGATCATGAATCCAACCCAACCATGATGATTTCACCCCTTTTCTCTCATCATCATCTCCATGGATACTGATATTGCTTCCTTGCCCTTCCAATCCTTTTCTTTGCCTCACATATCTCTCTTCCATAAAGCCACTGCCTAGGATTCACCAACTTCAAATCCAAAATTGCTTTCCTATTCTTCACCAGCTTCTCCCGCAAGTTGTCCCTTATGTGAATGATTCTTTCATGGCAAAAAGTCCGTCTGGGGATATCTGCACTTTGCATGTTCATTCCTCAACTGATAATTGCCTATCTTACACAAGATTGCAAACAAGGCCGCTGACAGAATCGCCATAAAAAGCGATCTTCAAATCTCCTCCACCTGCCTCACCAACGTCATCTTCTTCACACACTTTGACACTCGCTGTTGAAAGGCTCTACAAGCAAAGGGTTTCTTTCAGAAACTCTTGGGAAAATGTTGCAGAGCTCTGGTGTTGTAGAATCCTGATTGCTAATGGTGTTGCAGAGAAAAAAGGGGTTGAAGTTGAAGGCTTTAAACAAAAATTAAAGAAGCAACTTTTAAATAAAAAATTTTGAGATTTTTTTTTCTTCTGAAAAAGGGAAGAACATTGTTTTAATGTAAGAGAAAAAGGGTCACTGTCATGTGTTTCAATCTTTTGTGTCAGTGTTCTCATCCATGTTAGACCTGAAGTTTTCAAACCAGGATGTGAATTCTCCAGTAAACTTGGCATTCCATTCCCCATATTAGCAATTTCTACATATGCCTCTGCTGTTTAGTGAAGCCATTAGTTTGAAAGTTGGGTGCTCTTGAAAAAGCTACATTCTTTCCAGGTTTTCCATTTTTACCTATGGTATCACTAACATCCTTCATTATTGTAGGTGCCTCATCTGTGATGATTGCTAGAGGAGCTCTTTGGAATGCTTCAATTTTTCATCCAGAAGGAACGCCTGTTGAAGATGTGAAAAGAGAGTATGTTAGGAAGGTATATGAAATAATCTCAAGTTAATTGCTCTTTTTCGAGCCTGGAAAGATTTTCCTGGATATTATTTCACTAGAAAATTAAAAATAGTACTAAAAACAAACCTTTAGTAAGCATTGGTTGGATCTTCGTTATTTTACTGTATTTGGAATTGCTTTACTCGATTTAGTAGTAACCACGGACACACGAGGATGTTGGATTGAGGGCCCTGCAAGCATCGCAGCTGAGATATTGACTCTTAAACATACTTTTTATGGTTTCAGAGCATTTTATGGGATCATGACATCAAAAGCACGAAGTACACATTGAAAGAGATGATCATGCATTATACTTCTTTGGAGCTCCCAGAAGGAAAAGCTGTGACCAAATCCGAAAGCTTGGCCGATATAGCGTAGGTCCTATGTTTGTCTCGTTTTAATGCTCATGCTTCAATTTTTTCCAAGAATAGCCGCATTCTTCCATATATGTTTCTTTATTGGTTTCTAATTTTAGATTGTCCTCTCATTTATGCTGGCAAAATGCATCAAAATGCAGCAAAGTCTGCCATAGTTCCTATTTAGTGTAAAAAAGAAAGAACTTTTTTTTCAATCAATGTAACCAAGTTTCAAAATTTCTTATTTTGATGTAACTAAGTTTTTGAAGTTCTCTATTTTGTATCCATTTGGACCAGTAACTTGTTAATTTTGTAACATTTGATGACATGGATACTCTTTATGAAAGGTATACAAATTTTTTACCAAAGGTTTATGGCCAAGTGAACGATAAACTTGATATCCACGTCATCAAATGTTACAAGTTCAGCAGGTTACAGGCCAAAAATGAGTGAAAAATAGAAAATTTTGAAACTTCATTACATTAAAGAAGATAATTTGAAACTTTGTTGATCGAGAAAAAAAAAATGCTTGGTTATACTATATAGGAACTAAACCAAACTTTGATGCATTTTACTCTCTATGCAAATCATTTTCTTTGTCAAACAGGTAGAATTTTTCACTCTGCAGTTAAGTTTCTATATTTGAATTTTGTACATGCCATGCTCATATTATATATTAAAGTGGTACATTCTCTTTCAGTACTAACTAATTCCTGAACTCTGTTAACAAGTTGTTTTATCTGGATGTTAATCTGATTAATTTCAGGCGAGTTTATGGGGAAGAAAAATATTATGAATCTGTCCACAGAATGCGAAATGGAGTTGGTGACGGGTCTTCACCCAGATAGAAAATGATGAGGTGAGTCTTGCGAAACCTTGATATCCATGTTTTTATCTGATGATCGCTTGTGTACATTGTTTTTGGCCGGATAACCATTGCCACTGAAACAAAGTGCATGTTTGTATATGCTTTTTTTCTTCACGAATCCTATCTAATAAGTATCAACTACATGCACCATTTCAGGTATATGATTATTCGGCACATATTTGTTGAACCGTATCTAAAAAGGTACGATCGTGAAACCATGCCTCGCATCTTGGTACACTGGGTGCATCAGAAGGTGAAGGTTTATTTATTCGTGCATGCTATGCTCGTTCTCGATGTCATCTTCATCTTGCCATTCATCCCCAAGAGAAGATGATGTGTTTTTATTTTTTATTTGGTAGGTTCAGAGTTTGTAGTTTGTTGGGATGTCATATTTTGTGAAGTGTAAAGAGTGTAATTACGGTGGTTACTTGATGCATATATGATGCTGACATTCTTTATTTGTAAAGCAAAATTTGCATACTTGTAATGTTGGCATGGAACATGATTCTGTGTTCCATTCTCTACTGGTTTGGTATATTTTGCCATTTTAATCAATGTGGTTTTATGTTTTACGATAAACTTTTGTCTTAGTGACCGATGAAGCAAGCAAAATATCATATACTTGATGTATAAAACAAGTACACATCGCATGAGTTAGCTGCTAATTCGAGTTTTCTTCGAGGCTATTGGAATTTTTCTTGACCGATATTTTTAGGGTCTTATGAAATTAGTTTGGTCCAGACATTCATAGTTAAAAGATAATACAAGTAACCAAGTAAAATAATCAGTTTTTTGAGGTGATATAGTCGTGGGTTTTTAGACTCGTTTATTTTGCTTTTCAGAATGTTAAACAAATATTGTAACTTTTACACGATTGTTGCACATGAAATGAATGGCTTTTAAGAGGGAACAAACGAGAACTTCTGTGATTTATGATAACGCGAGAACAACTTCTGTGATTTATGATAACGCGAGAACAACTCATTAACCTCAAATTTTTTTAATTAATAAATTAACTTATATTAAATATAAATAAGTCAATAAGGGCTGTAATGTTATTAGATATTTTTTAATATTTTTTATTTTATTTTAATTAATTAGAATTACCATTTTTTTGGATTGATCCCGTTTCTTCCTTTCCACGTTTTTCTCTCGTTGGTTTTCTTCACATTCGACTTTCTTATTTGTTTTTCTTCACATCGTTCATAGTATTCATATTTTTTACGAGTGGAGTCCTTGCGATATTGTGTTATTGTCTAACCCTTACCGGTCGAAACCATGATCAAATTGAATGCGCCTATAAACAAGTGATGTTATAATAGTGATATCAAATGATCATCACACCCGTATCATATGATTATTTAAATGCGCCATATTTTTTTGGTGTCGGTATTGAGAGACAGGCTTTAAAATGATACTATCGTTTTGGTGTCTTTATGCTTTTGTTTGTTATCATTCAAATTGTTCTAGTTTTTTGTATATTAATTATATATATATATATATATATATGTATATATATATATATATATTTCAACGTGTTTTCCATCATTAAACTTGTTACTTTTAAAAAATATTCAAAAAATAAAGTTATTATTTACACACTGATATATGCTTAATAATTTATTAAATGATACATAAATTTAAAAAATTGAACACAAAATACTACAAAAATGTCAACTTATTAATATTTTTTGAAAGACAAAGCAATATATTAAACAAAAGCAAAGAAATAAAAAAGATTTGGTTACAAATTCTGCAAGATATAGAAAAAGAACCACCATCCTTTAAAGAAAGAAACATATAATAACAAAAGAACGAGAAAACCACAACATCAAAAAGGGACTAACCAACATGACCTTACCCTCCACACCAATCAACCAACGAGATGTTGAATTTTTATCAAGTTTTAAGACGCAATAGAAAGATAGAAGCTTTACCCCAACCAGTATGAAGCCTAGATTGCCCCTTGAAAGCTTAATTGTTACGATTACACCAAATTATATAGAATAGTTGTTTAAATTACTGTCTTTCAAAAAAGCCATATTTCCGTTATAACCTCCTAATATGCAAACTAACTTATTAGATAGTAAGATCCCGTTTGGTTTGAAGGAATAAAATGGATTTTGGGGGATTTGCATCTCAAATCCATTCCATTCCAATCTTATGTTTGGTTTATTGGATTGTCCGGATTTCAAATCCCATTATTTAATTGAAATCCTTCAAACATAGGATTTTGAAATCTTTAGGGAGTGCTCAGGATTTCATGAGATTTTGTAGAATTGCATGTAATAATGTAATAACAAAAAAAAAAGGATAGGAATGGTTAGTCGTTAAATTTCAAGGACTTATAGTGTAAAGCGATCAAAGTGAAAGGTTTAGACCTAAAATTGAATGCAATTTAATGACATGAAACTCAATAGTCATGAAACCTACGACCATTTATTATGGCTTATCGTTTCATATTCCGTGAAATCGCCGATGGGGCTTAGTATAAAATGGGAGTTTGTAGCTTTATGTGTAGTTTGAGGGTTAAGAAGGAGAACTATTGTGAGAAAAGGCGAAGGTGGATGCTGTAACGCGAGTTGGCGGTGTCTACATCGTAGCTAGTTTGGCACCAATCGGGAAGACGATTATAATAAAAAAATAAATTAAAAAAATTACATAAAAAATGAAAACTATTAAATAGTTAAATTGACATTAACATTGATATATGTTTTTTAAATTTTTTATGATATATTCAAATTTATATTTTATTCAAAAATAAAATAATTATTGCTTTTTTAAAAAACACATAATCTATATATCTATACTATATTATAAAACAGTTGACAAAAACTCTTAAAAACAATTTTTTATGCACGAACTATTGTTTATTGATGCATATTACTTAAAATTTAAGATTACAAGTAAATTATGTACAAGTACAACTTATTAAAACTCCATATTTGAATTCGTTTAACTAACTACAGATAAACATAATCAAATATTGGATAAATATCTCATTTTAAATATAAAAAAACTAAAATATAATTATGATAATCATTGATAAATAATAGAGTTTAATTAAGAAAATTACACCAAAACACAAGAACTTTTAAAAAGATTAGTTTAATACTGATATCGATATTTTTTTTAAAATTTTATGATATTTTTAAATTTATATTTTATTCAAAAATAAAAATATTACCATTTACTCAAAACCACATAAAACCAATGTTTACTTAAAATTCAAGATTACAAGTAAATTATGCAAAAATACAACTTATCAAAGCTTGATTTTTGAATTCGTATAATTAATTGCGGATAAATATAATCAAATAGAGGATAAACATCTTATTTTAAAATATAAAAAATCTAAAATATAATTAGGATAATATCGAGTTCTAACAAAATAATTAATTATTATCTTTATAAGAAAATTATATTATTAAACCAAATATAAATTACTTCGTTATTGTACCTAAATTAAATTATAAAAAAAATTGAATTAAAAAATTACACAAAAAAATGAGGAATTTCAAATAGTTAATTTGATACTAATATCGATATATCTTTGTCAAATTTTTATGATATCTTCAAACATATATTTTATTCAAAAACAAAAACATCATCGCTTTCTCAAAATCACAAAAAGTCATATTATAACATCGACTAAGATAAAGAATAAAATGAAATATTAAAATCACGATGTATCTCGCTGCATTGCGCGAGTACGCTTCTAGTTATTTATAAATAATGAAATCCAATTCCATTTCAAATCCCTTCAAATTCAAATCATAAAAACCAAACAAAACCTAAATACTAAACATGCAAAAGCATTACGTATATATTATTCTCTTGAAACGTTGTAGTTTTAATGTTGAAAAAACCGACTACATGAAGAGAGATGTCAACGGACACTTCAAAAGTTAAGAAGAAATAATTATGGGGCATAATTAGAAGAAAAGAAACTAAAGGCCTATCTAAGCAAATTCTAGAAAGTCTCTCCAACATAAAGCGTATACTTCTCAAATTCCTTCAATTTTTACACACAAATCCTCTGGTCCGAAACTCCCTTCTCCGCCCCTCTCCCCTGGTAAGATACTAAGCTCCTCTGCCTCTATGTGTATTCTTCTTAATCATTATATGTATATGTATGCGTGTTTTACGTGTAATTTATATGCATATTAATGGCGGAATCTTTTAATTTTCTACTATGATTGCTTTATGACTTTATGTTACGTCGATCTGCAGTCCTTTTCTTTTCTTTTGGATGATTTAAGTCGTTTCGATTGCTTTACTATTAAATCGATTTCATGAAATTGATAGCTGATTAAAGATCGTGAGATTTGACTGGATTGATGGATGAATGTGTTGGATGATCGATATACAGAGTAAGCTTTGGTTGCTTTGCTATGTTGTTGTACTTGAATTTAGAGAGTGTTGTGTATATATTTTTTGATTTGTATGAATTATTAGAATCTCATTCTGGGATGATCTGATTAAGGATCTTACTTTTATTTGTTTTAAAAACCGTCTGCAGTTATGGCATCATAAGAACTGGATAGAGACAACCGTTTTACTGCTAATTCGGCGCATTCATGTTTTCATCTGATTGAGATCCTTTGAGTTTCTAAAAACTGGTTTTTGACATTCAAACCTCCTACTTTCTAAATTAAGATTTTAGGTTACTGTTTTTCATTTTTTAGTTTCAAAGCTTTGTTTTACATGTGGTAACTCTCATGACACTCAAACCTAAATAATGAACTCAGATTATGGGACTGACTTGAAACATAATAGATGAGCAAGTTCTACAACAACAGTCTTCTTTTGATCAACTTTTTAGGTTTCCTACACATTTTTCTTCAGCCCTTTATTTTTTCAATTTTATTATGTGTTCTCTTATGCCTCAATTTCTTTTCCCGTCATGTTATTTTTGAATTAGTTTGATTGACTAAACAAGAATGGCATAGTGGATATTCTTGGCAAAATCTAAGATCTTGGAGGTGGCTTTCTAAATGGCAGTTTCTTCTTAGTAGAAATACTGTGCATTTGTGATAGGATGGAGTTGTAACCACCTGTGTTACAGATCTTTTTACTGTAGTGTTTTGAAAGAATTTCGGATGTTATAATCTGAGCTTTCCTTGGCATAGTCTCCAATGTTCACGCTAATGCAAGTCCTTTGACTACATGACTGGTCATCATGTTAGCATCTAATTTCATTAAGTATCAAATATTGCATTTATTTCTCTTGGTTGTCATTAATGATTCTCGACTGCTCGTTCTTTTCAGATTTTTCAGAAACTGCAACCACTTAAAAGGACAGGGTATTACAAACACTCAAGACCGTGACAGACATATCTCTTCCACAATCCAAACACTACCATCAGGTAATCCGTTCTCTAGCATTTGTTACCATCTTTGACGGATCATTGTTTCACATATTTAATATTGGTGAATAAACACTTTTTAAGTGAGCTTAAATTTTGTGTTCATGGCTCCCAGATTTTTGTTTTGATTCATCTAGGCTATTCTTCTTCCTTGGTTCTGAATGCCTCAATCAAGCCATCTTGAACTGATCATCATTTCATATAATCATCTTTAATCGACCATTATCTTACATATAAAGGGCTTTTCTCAAACAGAACATATCTGAGTCGTTAAAGAGGCCCAAATAAATCATATCATGTCATGGCAAGGCCACACATACCACCACTATTTTTCTTCCCATATGTCAGATCAGAAAATCGCTGCGCCATGCCATTGTGTGGGCTGTGACTATTTCGGCTGGAGACCAGTAGGTTAAATTCTTGATGTTTTTCAGGTAGCTTTATATGTGCCCTTGCAGCTTGGGAATGACTTCAACATGTGCCAACACCCAAAGTTGATAGAATATTTAAGTATTCTGCTGCATTGTGTGTACAAATGACAAGGTTTGGCATTAAGGTCGTCACTAATTTGTGAGTGGCCGGTTATCTTCAACTTTCTAATATGAATCCTATAACCTTGGCATGTATCATAGAGATTATCGTGTTTCTTTTGTTGTGAGGCCTACGTAACCAAGTTCGATTTATCATTTTTCCAAGATATATATTGATCCATGTCCTGCATCCTTAAATTGGGAATAGTGCTAGGTGCATTTTATGGAACTCCCCTTTTCTGCTTCCTTCATTTCTCTCTTGTTACTGACTCGATTTATCATTTCTCCAAGATATATATTAATCCATGTCCTGCATCCTTAACCTGGGAATAGTGCTATGTGCATTTTATGGAACTCCCCTTTCTGCTTCCTTCGTGTCTCTCTTGTCATTCCCTTCAAATTTTGACTATAATGGTCATGGCAATCGAAACTGTTGAGAACTTGGCATTGCAGGGATTGGTTTTAGGGAATTCTGTGAACTTGAAATGAATAATGGTATGCAGTCCCTTCTGGTTTCTTTATTTCCTTTCCTGGTTATATGCTGCCCTTTTTTGTTAACTTCACCTTCTGACGATTGCTGATTAATGTACCAGAAAACAAATATTTATCTTGTGCGCTGGTTTGATATGCTTTTAACATTTGTCAACTGCAATTGCTTAATTATATCATTCTGTTGTTGCGGATATAGGTACTTTGTATGTATACAGCACATCAAGAAAAGGAGCAGTGGAGAACTAAGTATTTAGATCATGGAACTGAATTCTATCAAAGATGCGTTTGATTGTGTTATCAAGAAACAAGCTCTTTCCACATCGAAATTTGAGGAGGCAATTGAACAAATCATCCAAGAAATCGATCAGACATTATCAGGAATACAATCAGCCCTTAATGGTCTTTCATCTCAACCTGACCACAAATCGATCCTGGGTGAACTGAAAACTAAATTGAAGGAGATCGCTCCACTTGGTCGGCTGGAAGGTACACAAAAGGAACTAAACATTGCTTTGAGTAAGTACACTAAGCTCCTCGAGAAACAATTCAATCCAGATATATCCAAGTCTTATAGGAACGTAGACTTTGATAGTCACACAGTCAACCAGATTATTGCTGGTCACTTCTATCGGGAAGGCCTGTTTGATATAGGTGATTGTTTCATAAATGAAGCTCATGAAGATGTCATCTTTGTTAGGAAAACCCGCTTCCTAGAAATGTACGAGATACTCGAATCCATGAAGTCTCGTGATCTGGGTCCCGCTTTGAAATGGGCCACGACCAACCACGAGAAGCTCCAACAGAATGGATCAGATATCGAATTGAAACTTCATCGTTTGCAGTTCATGGAGATTCTTCAACATGGTAGTAGAGATGAAGCTCTCAAGTATGGCAGGACTTATTTCGCTCCTTTTGCCACCGAACACTTTTCCGAAATCCAGAAGCTCATGGCATGTCTTCTGTGGGCCGGAAAGCTGGACTTGTCACCTTATTCAGAGTTCTTATCGCCAACCCATTGGGCCAAGCTAGCCCAAGAGCTGGCCCAAGAGCTATGCAATCTGTTGGGAGAATCATATGAAAGCCCATTAAGAGTGACAATAGGTGCTGGAGTTCAAGGATTGCCAACCCTATTGAAGCTGATGAATGTGATGGCAGGGAAGAAGGCAGAATGGGAATGCATGAAGCAGTTACCAGTGCCTGTGGATTTGGGTACGGAATATCAGTTTCACTCGATATTCGTGTGTCCGGTGAGTCGAGAGCAGGCGAGCGAAGATAATCCGGCAATGCTGATGTCATGTGGGCACGTGCTTTGCAAACAATCAATAGCAAAGTTATCGAAGAACAACAGCACGAGGCCTTTCAAATGTCCATACTGCCCTACTGAGGTAGAAGTGGGTCAGTGTAGAAGGTTGTACTTTTAACAGAATTGGACCTGTTGGAACGATGGTGGTTGTTGGGGGATGGATGGATGGATGGATGGTTGTAAAAACTGTAACTGTTGGTGTAATATTTATGTGAATTGTATTGTAAATAGGAATTCCTTCAGCTTGTTTCTGAAAGTTACAAAGTAATTGGATGTTGGGGTATTTATGAAGGTTCAGAGTTAAAAGTGTGACTCAAATAAGGGAAGAATATTGATAAGCTGCAACTAAGTTATTCATATGTGAATTATTTGGTAAAAAAAATGTAGGTTTGTGTATGCATATTTTTGATATGGATGGGGGAGGCTCTCCAATCAAGAAAATAGTTACTAATACATTTTTTTTATAAAAAGACAGAAAAATAAACCAAGGCCAGCACTTGGGTGGTGTTAAACGGAAGCAACCACCAGAATTGAGCAAAACTCACAGCAATAGAGAAGGGAGAAAAGGAGGAGAGAAAAGAAGAGAACCACCAACCACTAGGGAAGCTTCCGAAAATGCGTAGCCCGAACAACGTTCAGGCAAGGTTTAAGGGTCAGGCTAAGAAGCCTAGACCGGACATCATCAAATATGGTCTTGCCCATCATGTCACAAGATTTTCTCTTATTTTTGAATATGCACTAATTTCTTTTCTGCCAAAGGTAGTAGACGATCCCAGCAAGCACTAATCTGCGAATAATGGACCAAATGGTCTTGCTTTTGGTGGTTCGCTAGAAGACTCTAATGATGTCAGCGCAGTTGTCTGAGACAGCGAGAAGGTTCAACTTTGGCTTAAAACAATTCCAAACCTGATTGGGGAACATGCATTCAAAGAAAAGATGATGATGAGAATCAGACCCGTTTTAACAAAACCCACAAGACGGATTAGTAAAGGCTTCCCAAATCGAAGTTTATCATGCGTCTTAAAACACTGCCTCATGGCAACCCAAAGTAGGAATAATTGGTAAACAAATATGGGTTTATATATACATCTTCAAATTGTTATTTTTTTTCCAGGGTTACCAATGATTCACATATGGATAATTTATTCTTACATCCTCATTTTTTTGTGTTTTTATTTGAACTTCNACACACACACACACACACACACACATATATATATATATATATATATATATATAATCCGGTCATTGGTATAGCAATACCTGGGTTACTAGTAGATCATATTTAAGTTGTTTGAACCTTAGACAAAAATAAAGAAGGTATTTGATATAAAAGTTGAGATGATCGTTAAATCATTGTTAGTAAAGTGTGTGTTTTTTAGGTTACATAAAACAAAATGAATGAATTATGGCCTGTGGGAAACTAAATCAACATTACCAGTTATTTCTTAACGTTTATAATTTACGCTCAAATGAGTAATTTCAATTTTAAAGAAGAAAACATAATTTTGTATAATGTTCATTTAAAATCAATTTATGATGTCACACCCTATTTTTTTAGAACTTTTATTGAACATTATGATAACATATACATCTTATAACTATTTATAACAAAAGACTTAAGCAACTGTACAACTATTAAAAAAATTCAAATGTTTTTGAAACATTTGAAACTTATCATGCTGAATCGCTTGAGATTAATGTCTTTGTCTCCAGCACTAAACCGAAGCAAAGTCTTAATAACATAAAATAAGGCAAACTTCAATAGAAGGAATTAAATACGTCCCTTTATTTCCTTTGTTGGTTCATGCTTTCACTGTTTTTAGGATACATATAGTGCGCTAGTTAAAGTTCAGAGGATGTAGTGGAGATCTTATCTTTTATGGGTCCATATTCAGATATTATCAAAGTCCTTATAACCATGGAGGTTTGTTTTCGATCCCTCAAAGTCATTTGTGATTGCCTGAAGACTAGCTATCTGAAGAGTCTCATAAGTCACAAGGACATGATGATATATGATAACTTATGCATATCCACTTTACATAAAGTATTTTTGGTAATTAGGAGTTTATGAATAGTGACTATGCTATGAAATTATAATTCAAATTAAAATATTTAAACATGTCCTAGATATCCAGTTAACTGTTGTGCCTCAACGCATTTCAGGGATAACCAACTAGCAAAAATTGACATGGATTAAATTATAAGAAATTCTTTAAATCATTTTTCAGATTTGGCGAGCATCTGGAATAACTTATTCTTATATCTGAATTTAATACAATATGATTTATTTTAAAAATAAAAATAAATAAACTTGAAATCAAAGCAATCTCCAAAACTCATTAATCCCCATTGATACCAACTCTCATTCTGCTTTTAAATTTGTGTTATGTACATATATTCCTTTTGCTAATGCTTTTTGGTTCTTAACAAATAATTTATGTTAAATATTTGTTTATTTATGCTTATTATTACAACATTAATAGGGAAAAGTCTAAAAAAAATCCAATGGACTTTAGTGTTTGGAATGATTAATTCCTTAGATAATTTTTTGGTACAAATAAGTCATTGGACATTCCAAAAATTGTTAAATAAATTTTTGAACTTTTTAAAACCCGTTATATACACCATTATAACCTATAAAAGTGAGTAATGTGATAAAATAAGGGAAAAAACATGGAAGAAACCAATGAACTTTCATATTTTCAGCGATTAAGTCTCTAAATATTTTTTTAACTAAAAAGTACTTACATACATATATAATGAAACAAATATAGCAAAAAAGTACCTATATTTAAAAAAGATTATTGATGAAATATATTTTGATTAAAAATAAAAAAATATATTTTGTCAGTGATTTTCCAAAATAAAAAAATAAAAAAAGAGTT